GTGCCTATAAAATAACATTATACTCCGTATAATCAAAGTTATGACATATATACGAGTTATTTATTTATTTCTTCTATAAAAAAACTAAAAATATATATCTATCACAATACGATGTCTTATTAATCATGTTATTATCCTATCTAGATATATCCTGCATCCCACGGGTTCATTTGTCTAGTAAACATAAATTTAAGTGTGGTCATCAATCAATTCACAATTTTCCTTAATGGAAGGGTTTTGTACATTGATAAATTGAAGATAATGATATCACCCGAAAAGGCTAAGTAGAACAATTAATTCCCCATTCACAAAGAACAAACTAACAAAGAAATGACAGTTGGAAATCAACCCTTTTATTTCATTCACGAGCTTCGTATAAAAATGTCAAAATAACTAATACTACGTACAAAGTATGAAAATTTAACTTCCACACTTTTGATATTTTTCTATCTATGAAAGATGCTTTATCGCTTACATTTTGATAAATCGAAAATAACTAAGTTTTTAAGTCAATACTTTTCCACTTAATGAATTTAGCACGCCTTTTGTCAACACTGTTTTTCGGCTTATCGGGTTTATCGGCCAACTTGTTCACCAAACTCATAATTTTTGCTTTCGCACACTGAATTGTGTAATAAGCAGAAAAAGTAAGGTTGAAGTTACTTTTCTGGCTGTATTGGTTGAAGTTATTGTAGATGACCATTATATTTTAGCTATTTTTACATATAAATTTTTCTTTTTTTATTAATAAAATGTATTTTAAAATAATTTTTTCTTAAATCAGCAGAATCAGCCTCTTCAGCCAAAATTTCATAAATTTTAGCAGAATCAGCCAAATCAACCGATTTTCGTGTTACCAAACGGGGCTCATAATATTTCGTCAAATTAGTAGGCGACGACTAAGCGTAACTATGTTGAAATATAAGATCTCGAGCTACTCTTTATGTCACATGATATCAGGGCCAACCAAAGGCCCGGAAGCCATGGCAGCTGGCGGCTAGAGTCCGGCAGTGGCAGTGGTGGAAGTAACATGTGATGGCAGAGACATTATTGTCCAATTACAAAAAAACTCCTATTTTGGCAATTTTAAAACTACTTCTATTTGTGATTTTTGGTACTCTTTTAGTGTATTTGGTAATTCACTCTATACAGAGTTGTCACCATGGTAGCACAACTCTTGTTCTTTACATGTCAAGTGGCTCCTTGTAATGTTCTAGCAAATTCTTATGTTTGTTCCCCTTTATTTTCCTTGCACTTTAGTGATTTGAGACCACTCAAGTCAACTCCATATAAACTTGAGAGCAACTAACACTGAAAATGAATAGCGATGTGTGTATTTTGCAAATCCATTTTAGCTCACATGGAAGATGAAGCATCTATGTAGGTATTGGCATCTATTAACAGGAAAGTTGTCCATCCAAAGGTATCGGTATCTATTAACAAGAAATATGGCCATCCAAACTGTTGGTCTTATGGGAGATCAGCACCACCCTTTGATTCAGGGCTTAACCGCCCAACCTGTTGGCACCACGATGTGGTGCAGCCCCTCATGTCCATCCGCCGCTCAGTAGTGGGGCTCTGCACTGCCGTAGTGAACTGTGGGGGGTGCCCCACAGGAATCCACCTTGACTTGGGGACTACATAGTAATGGGTTAAATAGAGGGTGTCCACTTCCTTATCACCAATTGGTTTTAAGAAAGATATGGCTGCTATTTAACCACAGAACTCTGTAGTTAAGCGAGCCCGGGGTAAGAAAGCCCAAGGATGGGTGACCCACTGGGAAGTTTGTCGACAGGGGTGAATCGATCCAACAAGTGGTATCAGAGCGAGGTCACAGGTGAATCTCTCGGCTGGTGCTGAGGGGGTGATTGTTGGTCTTATGGGAGATCAGCACCACCCTTTGATTCAGGGCTTAACCGCCCAACCTGTTGGCACCACGATGTGGTGCAGCCCCTCATGTCCATCCGCCGCTCAGTAGTGGGGCTCTGCACTGCCGTAGTGAACTGTGGGGGGTGCCCCACAGGAATCCACCTTGACTTGGGGACTACAGAGTAATGGGTTAAATAGAGGGTGTTCACTTCCTTATCACCAATTGGTTTTAAGAAAGATATGGCTGCTATTTAACCACAGAACTCTGTAGTTAAGCGAGCCCGGGGTAAGAAAGCCCAAGGATGGGTGACCCACTGGGAAGTTTGTCGACAGGGGTGAATCGATCCAACACAAACAAATTTGGCATATTAGTTGTTTACTTGCAAAATGAAGATCAGGGGAATAAATGGGCCTGTTTCGAAATTGGATATTGGTTGTTTGCATGCTAAACCAATATTAGTACAAGTGCGTACAAAAACCATTACAGTACAAATGACGATCAGGGGAACAAATGTGTGATTTTAAATATTTGATGAGCATTAAGTACAAAAGACGTATGCGTATCACCTAAGTATATCAGTATTATCATGGATATGTATGATGTCTGTGCTAGTGTCGAAAGGACTATTGCAGAGTTCCTTATTAGTATTCGAGTGATCCACGGATCGGCTCTGCAATCCTTTTTTATTTGTTATAGTCCTAGATAAACTTATGAAGTTAATTCGAGGAGATATACCGTCGTGCATGAATTTTGCCAACGATATTGTATTGATTGATGAGACACAAGGAGTGTTAATATTAAGGGAAATTACCTTAAGGGTCTGTTTGCAACAGCTTCTGCTTTTAAAAAGGTGCTTTTTTAATGAAATGGAGAGAAGTGATTAAATAAAAGTTGATAGTGTTTGTGAAAAAGGTGATTTTGAAAAGTAAAAGTGGGTAGTGTTTGGTAAAATAAGTGCTTTTTGTGTAATAGAAAAAGTAAAAGCACTTTTGACGCGGAAGCCGAGAAAAATAGAAGTTGTAGTGTTTGGGAAAATAAGTGCTTTTTTAAAGCCAAAAGCTGAAAAGTGCTTTTTTAAAAGCGGTTGCAAACCAACCCTAAATAGGAGTAAACAACTTTGGAAATACTAAAATAGGACAATTATGTTTTTTTTCCTGAAATATGAGTCATTACTGTCACGATTTAAAAATATTGTCATGATTAAAAAATAATGCCACTAATTATAATAAATACTGATATACTGTCATGTTGAATGCATAATTTTGTAACTATTTGACAATCATGACTAAAAGATGACAACAAATACTATCATCTTAGCCTTATTTCAGGAAGAAAAACATAACAGTCATATTTTGAAGTTGTAAACCATGTTTAGTCCTATATTGAAAAATCTCCTTAATATTAATGGTGTGTTACCATTAAGGACAAAATCTTTATTTATAGGGAAAACAAATGATTAACTCAGGATGAGAAGATTAATATTAGCCAACATAACCATTATTTAGAAATCATAATTGTGATTTCTGAATTATCTTAATAATGATTATCTTAATAAAAGTCGTAATGACTTATAATCATCAATAGTTAGGAGATAAATAATTCATCATGGTGTAACAAAGGAAATATAAATATCATGGTGTACAAAAGTTGATAAATAAACTCAAAATGAAAACAAAATACTTGGTGCAAGAATGAAAAAATAGGGGTGGGATCAGTCCGGTCCGAGTCGGATTTTTGCTAAACCCGGAAATTACCCGGAAGGTCTCGGGTTATGAAAATTAGGGACCGGAACAAAGCCCATTATATTCGGTCTGAGTCGGGTTTTTGGTAGCCCGGGTTCGGTCCGGGCTCGGGTTGGGTCGGTTAAAGCCCGAACTTGAAATATCTCATTGTTCTTTTATATTTTAACACCTATTTTCAAACAAAATTAATCAAAACTACAAATCGCAAATAATAACACGAATAATAGTCTCCAAAATCACCAATAATTCAAATCCAAAGAAGATAATTATCTTAATATTTTATTTAAGATGCATGTAAATAAATAACATAGGTTTCTTAAAAATATTACGAAATAAAATTTATAGATAAAAGGATTCTTAGCTAAATATATCATTTACTATCATCAAATTCACAAATCTATCCTAGACTTTCACTTTTATTAAAAAAGTCTGGAACTTTAATTTTTCTCACAATTACACTTTCAATGGATGAATTGGTAGAATTTAAGAAGAAAATCATAATTATATTTCATACTTTTCACTTCTTTCTAGTTTTTAGTTTACAATTTTGAATTACTTATATCTTATTGGTATTGATAAGAATGTGTAATTTTGAAAAAACAAAAAAAGAAAAGCATGATTGTTTAAAAAGATGAAGTTTGAGCCTTGTTTTGATAAGTGTGAAAGAAGAAGATAGATTTGTGAATTTGATGATAGTTTGAGATAAAATAAGCCAATAATCCTAGATAAAATGTGACTAGAGTTGCTATAAATATATTTTCATGGTCATTACGCTAAACAAATTGAACATATTTGTAGTCACTAAAAGTTGCTAAATCGGTTTTTATGCACCGTGATTATAATCATATATTAGGAAATATTTATAAAATTATATTCATATATTCTACTACCTCCGTCTGAGGGACAAGTTCCCACTTTCCTTTTTTGGCAGTCCCAACAAAAAGTTCCCATTCCCTAAATGGAAAGTTATCCTACATCAAAACAGTGCCAAACAGTGCAAAACAGTGCGAAACAGTGCCAAACAGTGTCGAAACAGTGCCAAACAGTAAAATTTACCCCTCAGTAACTTTATTTCCTTAATATGTGTGAAAGTCAACCCGGGAACTTCTCCCTGGGACGGACGGAGTATTAATTTTATATTAAAGCTAATTGTTTCGGGTTTTTATCGGTCCCCGGGTCGGGTTATAGGTTTTAAGGCCCGTTAATGAGCCCGTAATTTCGGGTTCGGTCCGGTTTTTTTTTCATTCGGGCCGGTTAAAAAGAAAAAATCCGGACCGGGATCATAATTCGGGTCGGTCCAGGGTCGGTTTCCGGATTTCGGTTCGGTTTTTCCCTTCCCTATGAAAAAAGACGCACAAAATGAAAGAGTAAAAACATACTCCGTAAAACTCTTTTCCAAAGAAGAGAAAGTCGTATGTGTGGGCTCCAAATGTTTATTTTGGTCTTTCTCATTTTCTTCTGTTGCGAAACAAGTAAAGGTTTTTTGCACTAAACTTAATGATAAATTAAGGGCAGAGGTATGTTGATGATCTGAGCAGAGCAACCAATCTGCCTTTTAATTAAGATGAACGTACCTTAGGATTCAGAAGTCGAGGAGACCAGGGTTTTAGGGTTCTTCCATTTTTACAATCTGGAGAGGAGACGAGAGTCGGAGAAAGATCAAAATGGGTAAAAAATCACACTTTCTAGCGGCGTTTCTGCTCTCGTTTGCTCTGATTTCACTCTCCGATGCTGCGTACGATTCAATCGTTTCCTTTCCCCAAACTGCACCTCCTTCCTTCCGTATCAACTCCACAGCTCAACCCTATCACTCCCTGGTATGTTTTATTACTCAGTTTTACTATCAGTATACATTTTCAGTTCTAATTACTACTTGATACTGCAAAATCTTGTTTAAAAGTCATATTAAATGAGGCATCCCGCACTTAAATCGCCTTTTTTTTTTACTGTCTCTGTAGCTATGTTTTATTATGTGTAGAGTACGGAAAGCTGTGATTTCTCAGTGACCATTGTCACAAGCTGTTCTTCTCCTTCACCAACAAGAGATCAGGTCAGCATTACCTTTGGCGATGCTTATGGAAATCAGGTTGGTTTAACTCATTTTCGTCCTCATATTTCTCTGAAATCGAAATCTTTGAGTTCAATTTGACAATCTGATTCAGGGCAAGTTATTATATATGTTCTCACTATAATTACTACTGTGCATATTGTGGTTCAAAAACTGGATTCATATCCGCATTATATTCTTTATTTTAGTAATATATTGGTCACTATTTCATAAAAAATGACCATAACAGTTACACAGGGACACTAAATATGAGTGGAGTATTTTTTTTATAACGCGGGTCCTCAAGTTAATGACCCGGTAAACCTCTAGTTGTGCGCGAGAGAATTAGAACTACGCCCTGAAGCATTTATTAAGTATGTGTGTGGTGAAATTTGTGAAGGTCTATGCGCCAAGGCTACATGACCCATTTACGAGGACATTTGAGCGGTGCTCATCGGATACGTACCAGGTATACGGTCCGTGTACGCATCAGATATGCTACTTGTACATATACAGGAGCGGTTATGACGGGTGGATACCGCGTGATATTATGGTCTCTGGGGCCAATACTATGGAAGTGACATTCCGCTACAAAGACGTGCCTATACCAGCTGACATTTGGTATGGGTTTGACTACTGCTCTTCTGGTGGTGCGGTTGTTAAGGCTAAGAGCATTTTGGTTTCGGTTTTAGTTTCGGTTTTGGTGCACACGATTGGGGGAGGCGGACCGGTTCGCCCCGGATCACTTCTTTGATTATATATGAGCTCCTGAACTCGTTTGGAATGTGTCATATATGGACTATTGTTACTAATTGAAATGATGATGTAATTACTATCATTGCATGTTACTCTCAAATACCATCCTTTTGAATTCTAAGATATTTACTGGGATTAACTATTCACTCAAGTATGAATTCATGTAGATACATACTTGGAAATGTTCTCTTGAACTGAGCTTTTCTGATATGATCTTTGCCGAATTGTTCTAAATTTGGATGATCCGATTTTATCTAGAATTACTTTATACGTAGTATGTAGCAACATGTGTTGTAACTAGCTCTAATTTGCATTTGCCAAATATAATCTGGTCTGACACTAAAAACACTGAAATATGTTGAGGAGAACAGATCCTCTAAAATGTTGCAAAAGTATATGATTGCGTTCTTCCATTTTCTCATGGACAATTTAATCACTTGCCCCTTCCTAAAGGGTTTGCTGACATTCATAACGTGGAAAAATTATATCATGGATTTCCGTTATAATCATCCTTATGGAATTTGGATATCAAATTAATTGAGTTCTCCAGGACTGGAATCCATAAGAATGACAGTTGACAAGTAAAACATGGACTACATCAAGTCATCAACACGATTAACTAGTTTGTGATGGGAAGGGGATATGAGTTTTGAGCAATTATATTTTTTTGAACATGATTATTTAGAGAAGTAATATGAAAATATTCTTCGTTACAAATATATTGATAAAAAATCAGTAATATTTACTTAAATATATTGATAAAAAATCTTTGTGAAAGTTTAAAACAATTGATCAAAAAAGTTAAACATGTCAAACTAGAGCTAATTACCTATATAACTAGTGCTAATTACCTATATAGGAGTAATAGTAAAGTTAATTGCATAAATAGGAGTGTCTAACGAAAGAAGGTTTCGTAGGACTAAATTCAACATAATTATATAATTAGACAAAAATAACCCTGTTTTAAATTTTCTAATTTTGAAACTGTAAAATTAAAAACTGTTGGAGCTGTAAACATTTAGCCGCTAACTGCAACACTACTGGAGCCCTCGTCGCTACTCTTGCAGCCGATACCCTCGCCGGAATAGTCTGTCGCCGCATACCACGCCAGCACCGCCAGTCGCCGCCCCCAGATGATGCCACCATCCATCGCCACCCAGACCGGCATCACCATCCACCGCTGTCCCAACCAGTGTCGCCATCCGCCACTGCCCCAACCAGTGTTGCCATCCGCCGTCGTCACTGTCGATTCCGTGGCTACTACGTCACCTCTGAGCACCGTTGCCGCTGTAAAAACTCCAGCCACATAAATCTTCCATTAAGTTGGCATATTTTGCTTTGAATATTAATTCAAGTCTGCCATCAAGCGGGATTTACAAATCTGCCATAAAGATGGCAGATTTGTCTCGGAATATTAACACAAACTGCCATAAATTTGGTAATAATATAGTCAATAACCAAATATTAAAAAAATAATTTTTTATAGAATAAGAACTTAATGCAATCTGAAATTAGAAACACAAAACTAATAGTAAAAAATCAGAAACAATTGGTTAACACAAGATATTTTTCGCCATAGTAGATTGTCATAATACACATTTCTACCATATACTTGGCAAAATGTGAAGTCATCATCCAAAGTCCAAACATTTGGACATTCGATTTTTTTCTAAAAACTATGAAATCAAAAATCAGAATGGCGAAATAGAATGGCGAGGGGCAGCGGCGGCTCTGGATCTGGTGGCGGCAGTGCTACCGCTTGAAGTTGAAACCGTAGGGTTTCAACATGTTTTTTATTTTACATTTTCAAAATTCAAAAAATTAAAACATGGGTATTTTTGTCCAACTGTGATGTATTTGGTCCTATCGAACATAATTTAGTTTTTTGCTCCTATTTGCGCACTCACATATACTTTTAGTCCTACAAAGGTAATTGCCTCATGAAACATAATTTCCCTTATGTTTTACTCCTACATTAGGCAATAACTAATAAAAAACAAGAGAGAATGAATTTGCTTTTCTGAAAAACTTTACTCTGGTAACATTTTTTAATCGCGTTCTCACTTTCTTGTAATGTATTCATACGCACATACTCCGTAATTATTATGCTTAGTTTTTTTTAAGCTCCACTAGTTCTTTTTTTATCATCAAAACGGCTTTCCATTACTATAGACCAAAATAGCAGTATAAAATCCAGACAAATGTTACAGATCCGATCGTAAGCCCTAGGAATAGACTTAGAGTCAGCCACGCATGCAAAGCAACCTGACTCGCTAGACACAAAACGGGCAAAAGGAAGCCTAAAACGACCGAAAATCAAGCACCACTAATTCTTACAATTATGATTTAATCTTTATGATCTAGTCTTTATGATCGTAAGCTCCACTAGTTCTTACAATTATGATCTAATCTTTATCAATGACTCAACATCTTAGTCGAATTGCACGTTTCCTTTTTCGAAAAATGAACTTTCTTTTTCACTAAGACACGACTTTGAAAAGCAGTTCATATATATCATTCTTACCTAAATGTTCACGCAAAAAAATGGAAGTGTGTAATGATCTCATGTTTTTTTAAGGAAAAATTTGTACCCACTATTGTACTCATTTTTGTACCCACCATGTTTGTAAGGAGCTTTCTTTTTGTCTGTGAATCCCGGTCATAGACAAAAATATGTCTGGTGGGTACAAAAGTGGGTACAACAAGATGAATCCTTTTTTTAATCCCGGAGTGAACCACACGTGGTGGAGTGAGTGCCGGGGAACAATTACCTAATTTATTAAAAGATCTCATGTAAATTAGGGAAGTTCATGATTGATTGAATTCCAGTAACATTCATTGGGTAAGATTGAGAGCCATTTGATAATCCTGTTTTCAGGCTTATCCGATTTATCAGTCAAATTTTCACTCATCATCATTCATCATCATCATTACCCCAGTGCCGCAAAGGCTCCCACCTACGGTGGGGTAAGGAGGGGTTGGATGTGCGCAGTCTTACTCCTGTACTAAAGCACAGAGAGACTGTTTCCAGATGACCTATAGTGAAAATCGCGTCCAAAATTAGACTGAAACTTCATAACAAAAGAAGAACATACAGTTTAGTGAGTCATTTTGCTTTATTCCATCATATTTTCAAGCAAAAAAAGTTGTGAGTCTTTGGCTCTATTTCAAATGATGGAATATCAGTCAAATTTTCACTCAAATACGTATTTTTTGGTTTCGAGCACTGAATTATATAATAATGAGAAAATGTAAGAAACAATTCATTCAGAACTTTATAAATTTCAGCAGAATATGTCAATTTTAGTAGAAAAAAATAATCGAAATACCCCAAACTTTGAAGAGGTGTGAGATAAACACCCCAAACATTTTGTTTTTATCATCAAACGGGTCTCTATTCAAATCAAAAGATTCGGGATTATTACATCAAGCAAAAGGAAAATAAAACTGACACCAACTGAAACTTCAACAATTACGACTGTAACCCTATGGTGAGACTTTGAGACGGTCACCCATGAGAGAGCAACACGAATCGCTAACCATGTAGTGGGCTTGACACAGCCAAACCTATTCCCATAGATCCAACCATACCCAATGACATAAAAAGAGGCAAAAAACTCAAACAAACTGTCAAAACCAACAACAAAAGTGGACACAAGAAAACAAATAACAAACAGATAAAAACTACAAGAAAAGCGTTCACGAACTCTAGAACCCCCCGTACATCCCATGGTGGTGGTTCAGGAGGAGGTCTTACCACCGGTACCATGCTAATTGATACTCCGTGACCTTTGGCTGCCAAAGGCCATGCATCAATCCTCCATCCCTGCATAACCAAACTCATCTCTGCCCCATGCAACCAGAGTAAACGGATAGGCGGCGCCGATCTTCTCCAACGACGACAGCAACGCATCATTCTCGAACCTTGACCACAACGCCGATCTCCTCAAGCCAAGACAGCAAATCCGCCCTTCGAGGACAAAGCACAAACAACAGCGGCCGTCCTTCAATTAAAATCGAAGATGGAAATAGCGGTCGTCCTTCGATTAAAATCGAAGACAGAAAAAGCGATCGTCATTCGATTAAAATCGAAGACGGAAAAAGTCTCCAAGCGGCCGAAGCCCTAGAGAGAAGCAGTCAAAGACAAAAGTTAGAATATTCTTTGTGATAAAGAAATGGTAAATGGAGATAAACACCCCAAACATTCATATGTAATTTAAATACTCTATATTTCTTTCAAAAATGTAAATTTTTTGTGTTAATTTCATAATTTAAAATAGCAATTATTTAGAGAGAGAGTGTGTGTGGGGGGGGGGGGGTAATAATTATTATTTTACAATGGAATTTCAGAAGGTTAATTATATGAAATAATTACATAATTGTGACTGAAATGAAGATTGTTTACAAAAATGTGATTAGTGACTAGAGTAGTAATGAAATTATAGTAACATATGTTTAGTTTTTAAACTTTAGTTACTATAATAACACTACAATGTAGTAACTACAATTTCATTACTACTATTGTTGGAAATTTTTGAATATTTCAAATGAATAAGTTTTTTAATTATTATTTTGTGAAAATTTTATGACTCAAAAGACTATTGTAAACTATAATTTTAACCTGTTACAAAATGGCTCTTCACCTACAAATTATTATTGCTTTTAACGTTGTACATTGCTTTTAATGATGAAAAACGTACTGTTAATAATGGCCATTAATTTAGTCATTATTTTGGTGAAAGCCAATTTTATCAACTTGTTTATAAATTGAACTCTCCTGCGGTCAAGCAAAAAGAGATAGTTTTCACTAGAGCTACTCACGTTTTGAGTTCGGTCAGGGAGTATACTAGCCATATACGAAGTGTATATTTACATGAGAGACATATTACAAATTATATTTTGTTGATATGATTATTGGGTTCATATATTAATCTTCTTCTCGTTAGTTCTGTTACCGGTTTTGTACCGAAGGGCTCGTTATATCTTGGGGGAAATTTCCGTACGCCGGAAATAATTCCTTAGGACAGCGTCTGACGCGTCTCGAGCTTATAATATATTTTTAGTTCTTTTTAGTGATTATTTTGCAGGTCAATTATCGGGGCTAGATGGTCAACGAAGTCAACTTAGGAGAAATACGATCAACACATAAGTTTTGGAAGGATAGAGCCAACAATCTAAGGAATTATGGCGAATAAAGATTACACCTATGGAATTGTCAACGTGCCCGAAATTCTCTTTGAGACAAGCGGTGAAATTTCTAGCTCCCGCTAAATGATCAAGTTTGTGGTATGCGTTTATCACTATTCTCGTTACAAACAACCTTTAGTATAAACATCATTTTTTTTATATAATGAAAATTATGAAAAAAAAAAATTATCCATCAAAATAAAAATAAATTTTGTTGCGGGTGATTATATAATTATTGCGGTTAATTTTTAATTTGGATAGAGACGGATGTGAATGAATAATTGGTAGATTTTGAGGCTACAAAATTCATTTGTGAATGCAAAACTATTATCTTTAAATAACGTATTCCAAGTGTTCGAGTTTTGATTTATTTCAGTTTATGTTTCCCTTTTGAAAAAAAAAATGTGGTTTTGACTAATGGAAAATAATGAGTAAATTTTGAGACAAAGTTATTGTAATCATGAATTTTGTGTTCCAAATATTTTAAAATTACTGAGTGAATTTATACTCTTTTCAATTTGCTTGATATTTTTAATATGTGGCATATTACTTCTTATGCAGTGTCATGTAATGTTAATGTGAATAGCTAAATGACCGAAGTTTAAAGCTATTCATATGAAAAGCTTGCCCGGTGCTTAAAAGTTAGAATTGAACTTCATGTATTCCCAACATTATAAATTTATTATAATTACTGTCTATTAAATTTTTCTTAAAAAAAAAATGTTATGGACCATTTCTTTTATATGAGAATTGTCTATGAGCCTATTTTTTTTTTCAAATATTCAAAATGTGGGGGTATTTGAGATACAATAATTGTTGTGCATGTGTGTGGTGTGCTTTTAGATGCATAGTATATTATACTGGGTATTAATTGATTTGTAGTGAAATTCAAAAATTGTGGATGCAAATAATATGTGTCAATTTTATTATTAATTGAGCGTGGAGATATATTGAGTTGGATTTAAGGATAATTTTGTAGTCTGATATTGTTCATTTTATAGAAATTTACCTTGATGCTCAAAGTGTGAATTTATTAAACTTAACACACTATGTGAGATCCGGCAAAATTGTCGGAAGATTGTGATGAACTCGAAAACACAAAAATGTATTTGGTGAGCTAAACAACCATTGTATTAACGAAATACAATGATGGAATAATTTATTGAGAATTATCCATTGTATTATTACGATACAATGATGTCATATATATTCTATCAAGTTTTCCGTTGTACTAAATGAGTATAACGATGACACAATTTATCGAGAATTATCCGTTGTACTAGAGTGATACGACGATGTTATATTTGAGTGTTATCCTTCATACTATAATGGTATGATGATGTTATATACATTATAATGATGATTTTTATATACACTAAATTTTAATATGTTCTTTAAATTTAAAGGTGAGCTATGGTAAAATCTTGGTGTGCAAATAAAAGTTGAGCTAGAAATTATCTTCATAAAATAGATATTATTGAATTTTAGAAGAGTTATGCACTTGGTTTGGAATATTTAAAATTGTGGGGGTGCTTTGCTAAATTTTATTACCCGTCTGATTGAGTGAAAATGAGTTTTATAACTTTTGGCCACTTTTTGCATAAACTGAAATAGTGGAGCATGTATATGATTCTCTAAGTTAGAATAATAAGTGAGCATGTGTGCAATACTTAACCGAATTATTGTTGAGATTAATGTGATCGATGTTTGGAGAACGTATACACACTAAATGATGCATGTGTGATTATTTGTGTATATGTTGCTGAAATGCTTTTATATTCTTATTTCAATAGCTATATTGAGTTGATGCATGAAGATAATGATTTTTGAGTATTAAACCCATAAGGAAGAATGTCAGAATTTTACTATCATTATTTTGAGAAACTTCAATTCTTAAGAAGCTTGAGATTTAAATGTTAAGGTGTGAATATCCCTTATTACTTTAATATAAATATTAAAAACAAAACACAAAAATGTGATTCCAAGGTTCAATATGGATGTTTGAAAAAAAAATGTGACGTGTCAATATGGATGTTTGTTACTATTAAATGTGTGTGACGTGTCATAATTTAAAATTTCGGAATTGAAGATTGAGCCAATATATGAAATCCAAATTGGATAGTTGGGATACCTTAAGAAATTATTGAGATATTCGAGAGGTATCATTAATTATGGTTCAGATTATCCGTTGTAATATATTGATACAACGATGATATTTTTAATTGAGAAATATCCGTTGTACTAGAAAGGTACAACGATGTTATATATGAGAATTATCCATTGTACTATAATGATACAATGATGATATATATTTCATTGAGAATTATCCGTTAGGATATAACATATTAGTGAAATTATCCGATGTACAAAAGTGTCACATCGATGTATATTTTGTTGAGAGTTATCCGATGTGTTGCCGGGATACAACGACGTAATATGAGTCGACTCACATGAGATAAAATAGTGGATATCCATTCACCCTTAAAAGTGGTGCAATGATGTTTGAGAATGGAATTGTTCCATTAATTTTGTGAAGTTAAAAGGAATTAGCTACTCCTTTTGATAGAATCCCTAGGACGTTAAATGATAAATTTAAACATCGAGGGAAATGGACTAATGTCACTTTGATAACAAATTGGGATGGGAACCCAACTTGTGTGATTGGAGATCCCATGAAGCAAGTTCAAATGGGTAATAACAAGTCTTCTATTTGTTCTGCTAGCCTTGTAAAATGTCCATTTCTATGATGTGGAAGGCTAGACTGCATCTCTTTGTGAGGTTGAGTTAAAACTCTTAATGACTGTCATAGCCCTTACGGGTGGTGTGTTAAGTGCGGGACACACTTGATGAAGTCACCTATATGAGTGTGAGGTGGGGCCGCCTCCATGAAACATTGACAACGCTTCTAGAGCACTCAAGAAAACCAAGCACGCGCACGGCCTAGAGGCGCACAACGGCGTTAACGACGAGAAAGGTGGGGGTGAAAAATGATCCCCTAAGACACTGACTTACCAAAGTAGATTATTGGTTCATAGAAACTATACGTTTCACCAATAAACTCGGTAATTAAAGACTTAGGCGTCTAGGTCTGGTTCAAGTCTACGGACACCAGATTGAAAAACATCATCCCATATATGAGCCCAGTAAGGAACTACTATTTTAAAATATAAAATTAATTCATTTGAAATATGTGGGGGATTGTTGGAAATTTTTGAATATTTCAAATGAATAAGTTTTTTAATTATTATTTTGTGAAAATTTTATGACTCAAAAGACTATTGTAAACTATAATTTTAACCTGTTACAAAATGGCTCTTCACCTACAAATTATTATTGCTTTTAACGTTGTACATTGCTTTTAATGATGAAAAACGTACTGTTAATAATGGCCATTAATTTAGTCATTATTTTGGTGAAAGCCAATTTTATCAACTTGTTTATAAATTGAACTCTCCTGCGGTCAAGCAAAAAGAGATAGTTTTCACTAGAGCTACTCACGTTTTGAGTTCGGTCAGGGAGTATACTAGCCATATACGAAGTGTATATTTACATGAGAGACATATTACAAATTATATTTTGTTGATATGATTATTGGGTTCATATATTAATCTTCTTCTCGTTAGTTCTGTTACCGGTTTTGTACCGAAGGGCTCGTTATATCTTGGGGGAAATTTCCGTACGCCGGAAATAATTCCTTAGGACAGCGTCTGACGCGTCTCGAGCTTATAATATATTTTTAGTTCTTTTTAGTGATTATTTTGCAGGTCAATTATCGGGGCTAGATGGTCAACGAAGTCAACTTAGGAGAAATACGATCAACACATAAGTTTTGGAAGGATAGAGCCAACACTCTAGTCACTAATCACATTTTTGTAAATAATGTTCATTTTAGTCATAATAATTATGTAATTATTTCTTATTTTCGTTACAAAATGAGCATTTAGAAAAATAAAAGCAAAAGGTAGGGGTGGGCACGGTCCGGTCCGGTCCAATATTTGGCCGAACCCGTACCCGTACCGTTACTATTGAAACGGTTCGGTACGGTTCGGTTTTAGACCCAAACCCGTTCGGTACGGTCCATTTTCAAACGGGACGGTACCATGCCATACCAATACCAAACAATGCCACTTTTTCCAGGTGTTTAAGAAAAAATTATAGTTTAGCCATCCTCCAAAAAATCCACACAATTTATCAATTTTCATATATCATACTACCTTCGTTCCAAATTGATTTGCAAAGTCAATCTTTTTTGGTCAAACAATTTCTTTTTATTCACTTAATTAGAATTTCACTTTTTAATTATATTCTAATTTAGCCTTTCAAAAAAACTACTCTGTACTTCGTATATTTTAATTTGGATTTTGCAACTTTAGAGAGATTTTAATGTGGTTTCTAAATATGTAAATTTTAATTATTAAAAATTGTATTAATTATCAAGAACTTAATATTAACTTTGACAAAAAAATGTTGGCTTTGCAAATCAATTTGGGACGGATGAGGTAATTAATATATTTTAGATAAACTATAGTAGTACAAATTTAATAAACCATACTTCGGTCCGGTTCGGTCCGGTAGCGGTTCTCATTTTATGAGAACCGGTCATGGCATTGTTTGGAACCGGTTCGGTCCGGTTCGGGACAAAAAATTTTGAGATCCGTTTCAAACCCCGTTTATCGGTCCGGTACCATACCGGTCCGGTTCGGTATCATGCCGGTTCGGTATTTTTGCCCATCCCTAGCAAAAGGAGTGATGTAGCCTCACTCAGCCGGAAGAAATACGTACTCTGTATAGGGAATCAAAAGGTCATAAGAGTCTTTACGATGCATTGACGAATAATAACGGGCTTGTTAGGGTTCTATCTAACTCAAAAGTCTAGATCATTTCGAATCCCCAGAGGTGAAAATTGGGAGAGGTGAAAACTGAAAAGAAACCAGAAGAGCCAGAGATAGAGAAAGTGATGGAGATCCAAATTGGAAAACTTTCACAGTTCTTAGTAGAAGGAGCACTCTTATTTGCTATCATCTTCCTTATCTATCCACTCTCTCAAGCTTCATCGATTCCGATTGTTTCTTTGCCCCAACCTGCTCTCTCTTCCTTCAAGATTAACTCCACCACTCAAACCTACACGGTATGGTATGTTTATGTATAGATATTCACTTGTTGATTTATCTATTTACTCTATGTTATTGTTGTTTTTGGAGATACACAGAATGGCGGTGGCTGTACTTTTACAGTGTCAATAAGAACAAGTTGCTCTTCCCCTTACCTAACGGAGGACCAAATCAGCCTTTCCTTTGGTGACGCTTATGGAAATCAGGTTAACACTCACTCCTCTCATGCAATGCTTATATTCACCTTCCTTTAGAGATGTTCCTATTTTTACTTTCAAGAAAAAAATTAGATTTTCTTTTTTACTTCCAGAAGTATTTTTTTATTGGAAGTAAGTATAACTGTAGACCATCGTGGGTCAAGTTATACCCTGAAAAATTGATGAGATTTTCAGGGTAATAGTTAACTTTTTCATCTAGCCAAAGAAAAAAAGTTAAGTTTTTCATTTGACAGGGCATAGTTATACTTGAGAGGGGTATGTGGACAGTGGATTGATAGATTTTACTGAGAACTTAATTTGAATCGAGACTTATTGAATCTTTTTTTCTTAATAATAATAAATAAAAAATAAAAAATTTAAGATGATGCTAATCATATTCAGGTTTCAAGGTAATTCTGATCCCCTTGATTTAATTCATTCAAGGTATATGCACCGAGGCTTGATGACCCATCTTCCCGGACATTTGAGAGGTGCTCATCGGACACGTACGAGATAAAAGGTCCGTGTACATATGACATATGCTATTTGTACGTGTACCGGAGCGGATATGATGGGTGGATACCATATGACATTACAGTGTCCGGGTATTACACCCGGCCAGTGACTTTCCGCTATAACGTCCCTATACCCTCAAACATTTGGTATGGTTTCGACTATTGTTCTGGTGGTGGACGCAGTGGTGGTGGTACCACCATTAAGGCCGGCTGGGTTTGGAGCTTATTGTCGGTTTTTATGACGTTCTGGTACACTGTCGTGGGTCAAGTTCAGCACTGGTTAGCTTGATTCAGTTGATTGCATTTGTGTACTTTCCAACAAGGCCATTCTATTCCTACTAATGAGTAGTGTGTATTATAACAATCTGAGGTTGAAGACACCCTTTCTTTTCAAAAATTATTGTTATTGTTCTGCTTGTTTGTTATTAATCATTGTATACTTTCCACTTTCTTTTTCATGTGCAACGCTTTGGCTTTGTATGCGTGACATACTATACATTGACTAGTTTTGAGTGATATATGGAATGCAAATCATATAGATGTACATTTTCAAAATGACGAGTTTTTTATTATAATTTTTACATATACGTAATAACCTATACTAATGATCAAAATCTTGTAGAGATATACTATGAGCCCGTTTGGTAGCACAAAAATCGGTTGTTTTGGCTGATTCTACTGAAATTTACAAAGTTCTGGTTGAAGTGGCTGCATTGGCTGATTCTGCTGATTTAAGGTAAAAATATTTTTAAAATATATTCTATTAATAAAATAAAGAAAAAATTATATGTAAAAATAACTAAAATGGTCATCTACATTAACTTCAACAATACAGTCAGAAAAGTAACTCCAACCTTACTTTTTCTGCTTATTACACAATTTAGTGCGCGAAAGCAAAAATTATATGTTTGGTGAAAAAGTTGGCTGATAAGCCGGAAAACTATGTTGCCAAACAGCCTCTATATATGTGAAAACGAGATTGTTGCCATTAAAAAAATATGTTAGTGTATATATAAATCACTAATAACATGGTCATCAACTTCACTACATCTTCTAGTAGTTATAGGGGAGAGTGGGAGACTGGAGATTGATGTAAGATTCTAATTCATTTGATATACTAGGAAAAACTTGCTGGTAGTAGTCGATATACAGAGTACAATATAGTAAGATTCATCTATATTTCACAAGAATCAGAATGGCCAAAAAATGTGTAGCGATTTTTTGCAATATTGTCATACAAATGATCTCGGACAAACCTACAAAGAATAATAAAAGAAACAATCAAACAAAAATCAAATACTCCGTAGGAGCTTGTGGAAAAAACTCAAAAAGAGTGACAAAGCAAAACCAATTTGTGATAGGACTTTTCTTGTCAATGCGCATGGCATGATACTTTCATCCATGGTTGTTGACACATAGTCAGCACAATTTGGTTCTCATTCTTTATTTATCCCCGAAGGACGAAACCGATTGGGTCTTAAAAGTTTTCTAAAAGGGATTTCAAATGCAACTAAAATAATGAGGGAAATGGGAGCCAAACAGCAAACTCCGGTGCCTGTAGAGATTTCCAATTCTGAGATGGATCCTTTTTCTCCTTGGGTGGATGAGAATCATTCTCATTGGAATGAATCTTCTATTTCGGGATCTTTACTTCAGTTTGATATTGAACTTACTACTTCATCTGCGCCATCTCCGGAGCCACATTCTGCCAAGGATATTTGTAGCTATGTGCATATACCAGAAATCGACTCCCTTAACTATTTCATTCAGACTTCTATGACTAACGGGGTGGATTCACTTTCCCAATTCTTACTCAAAGAATTTGAAAAAATGCTCGCATCTTTTATGGGTAATCAAGATGCTAGACCTCTCGAAAATGAGAAGGCTATTGACATTGCAATTCCAGAGGTCAATTTTTCCAATGACACTTTCACAGGTAATCAATGTTATGACTACGAGGGTGTATTTGCCGAGAAGATTTTGTCATATTCGGGAGATGAATTTTTGGGTCATGCCTCAGAGAGCGAGAAGAGAACTCCTATTTCAGCATTTGAGGATTTATGGGACTCGGACACAAATGAGGATATTTGCAACAAGGCTCGCTTGGTCACGAAGGAGAACTGTTTGCCCACTCAAAATCTCAACACTCAAATGAAATTATACAGAAAAAAGCACCAGCGATCACATCCAATGAGAACGAGATCCCAATCACATGTGGAGTTTTCCTAGCTTAAGAAGAAATTTATTCTTTTTCAGGGAGGGCGTGTTTTACTTGTACTTGGGGTTGGGCTTTTTCTTCTTATTCTTCCTTTGTTTTACTTGTACTTGGGGTTGGGCTCTTTCTTTTCGTTTTTTGTACTCTCCTTTGCTGATTCGCTAATAAAATTTTCCCTTTAAAAAAAAAATGTACACACATAATTGTTTGTGGATTAGAGCATGTAGGTGATCTCTGTTTTCGATTTATTAATCAGTTTTTTTAATCAGATATGTAACTTTTGATTTCACGTATTAAATTGTGTAATAAGCTAAATTAGTAATCTAAATTGTGTGTTAAATTAGTTCTTTTTCACATAAGTTTTTCTTTATGTCATTAATTTTTTTCATAATTCAACGGATTAAGCCGATTGAATCAGAACTTCATCAACGAGTTTTTAAATGGTAGTTAACAGAACAACGAATTAACTGACTTACAAAGGCAAAAAATGCAAAGGCAGAGACAATTGAGGGAAAGGGAAGTCTATGTATTGCATTATTTTCAAAACAGCATCTGATTTCACATATGACCTGAAATCCAAGAAAACCAATAAAGCTCATTAGACTGTCTGCATCCTTGCACTGTTAATACAATTTTTCTCTACACTCAAGCACTGTCCATAAATTCACCCAATATATATTTTTGCATATTAGTTTGGTAAAATAGTAATTAAATTATTATAAGTAGTTTTTCCACCAATGTGTGATAAAAAATCAATTTACAATTTCTCAGATAATTGTATGGTGGTTCTAATGGATCCTATATATTAAAATATAAATTCATTAAAAAAAATGACTTTTTAGGTAACAAAAAATAAAAGGATTGAAGAAAAGTTTGGTGATTATCATATTCTCTTCAGTAGGGCTGAGCAAAACCCGAACTGACCCGCAAAACCCGGACTTTTTTGCGGATAATACCCATTTGGATATGGATATCCGGCCGGAAAATCCGAAACCGAAAATACGATTAGTATTGGGCCTAGACCGGGTGGCGGGTAGGGTTTGTAAAATTCCAACCTGACCCACCCGAAATATCCAAAATATATTAAAGTATGTAGTGTGTACTTTGAATATGTTAAATTAATACTTGTGTTCAATTATTTGTGTAATTATTTGTGCAATTTGTGTTAAATTATTTGTGTGATTTGAATGTGTAGTGCACTAGTGTCTACAATTTTTGTCAAAGTGGTATTCCAACACTTTAATTATCCAATTATAATGTGTTTTAATATAACCGAAATATCTGAAACTCAATCCAATATCCAAATTAAAAATATCTGAAATACCCGATTCGAAATATCAAAGGATCGGGCCTAGTATTTAAATTAAAAAACCGAACAGGTTTAGGGTACACAGACCCGACCCGACCGAACCCAACCCGTGCACAGCTCTACTCTTCAGGGCACAATTAATTAAATCACGTGGAAACATTTTATGATCATTCTCAATAAATTGTATTCCATTTGAGCATTAGTTTCTCTTCTCCACTTAGTGTATCTATCCCTAATACATCAGATTATCTTCTCCATTTGATGTGACTATTCATTGCGTATTGGATGTTCTTCTCCACATGGTGTATCCAATCATAACACATTGGAGGTTCCTCTCCGCTTGGTGTGTACATTCATAGCCAGGGGCGGAGCCAGGATTGGGGAGGGAGGGGGCCGAGATAAGTACAACTGAAACAAAAAATGTAATGTTAATATCAAATGATGTATTGATATTCATCAAAAATTTTGAAAAACATTATTCCTAGTACGTTGATAAGTCCGTATTTAGACACACATTTGATGCGTGTTGGGATCGGCTTTTGATGATTTTCCTAGCTTTAAGGTGTTGCAAGTCTCAATTTTAGCTCAAGTTATGTTTACCAGGCGTTGGTTCGAGTTTTGTGTCATTTGGAGTCAAAATCAGGAATTTAGAGTTCGGCACCAGCGCTTGAGGAGCAATCGGGATGATTCGAGATGTATTCGAGAGTGGATTTAGAGCTTTGGAGGTCACCGGGAGGTTTACGATGAAGATTTGATGACAAAAGAGCTCTATGATTGGCAATGAGATCAAAAGAAGATGAATAAAGCTTGAAAACGACAATCAGGATGACCTTTTGTCAATCATTCAAGCATATCTCCTTGTAGAAACATCCAAAGAACACGATTCAAATTCCACATGAAAGCTAACTTCAAAGGATACAAATCATATGAAGACATCTTTGCGAGAATCTGAGAGGAAGAAGGTGAAAACAGACGATGAAATCAGATGACCCCTGTTGCGATTTCAGGATGCGACCTTCCACCGTTTTGATCATATCTTTTGATTGGATGATTCAAATCCCATTCGGCAAGTTGTGGTGGATAGAGAATTTCATTATCTACAACTTTCGTGAAGAAATTTTTGTCAAATTCGGACTAGAGAAACGGTGACGAACAGGCCACGCACGATCGTGAAAAAATGAGTAGTTGCAGGGAGAGAGAAACAAAAAACATTCATTGGAAACATCACTTGGGCCATTTTGACTTTTGAGAATATCTCATGATTTCATCTTGTTCCCTAATCAACTTATCCTCCTAATCTCTAATTGCACAACTTTCTTTTGAAGTTCATTGCACAACTCTTCTTTTGGATGGTTTCCTGCCATGTTTAATCATTTCTTGAAAACATAAAGTCATCATTAGATCAAGTTTTCACGCCTTTACCTTTCCTGATCGCCTTTTGTTTGTTCCAATTTTCGGGACGTTTTCATTGAGCCACTACCCCCATCCGTGGGAGAGCTAAAACTACCACCTCCTAACGTGGGCGTATCGCGCAATTGCTGATTGGCAATCTTGAAAAGGGACTCGATTGCATCTCGACTCCAAAAGGCACTGCAAGATTTTTGAGAAAAGAATACAAACACTCGGTCCTAGTATCTCTCACCTCGCTGATTTATTCCCATGGCACCATCTTCAGATATGCTAACTCAAACATTGCATAGAGCAACCTCCTTACTAATATTCTAATCAATGCCCCCCCTTATTAAGGAAGGCATTACAAAAAATCTAGAAAGCATAAAACATATGAAGAATAAGATAGATGAGAGAAGTATAATTAAATGAGAATAAATGAGATGTTTATATAGGATTTTCAGACCAAAATATAATTAAAATGGTACACTAATTTTAGGTCCAAAAATCCTATATAAACACCTCATTTTTTCTTATTTTATTCACATCTCTCCCATCTTCTCATTCTTATTCACATTTTTTATACATTTTAAATTTTTGTTATATCTTTCTCAAGACGGACGCTAATTGGACCATTAATGAGGATGTTGCTCTATGCAATGCTTGAGTTGGCATATGCAAAGATTGTGTCATTTGAAAAAATCAATCGGGTGAGAGTTTTTAAGACCAAATTCATGTATTAGTTTCTGAAAAATCCTGCACCATTTTTCACAATCGGGATTCAATTGAGTTCCGTTTCGAGATTGTAAATCATAAGTGCTCCTTATGGAAAGGTTGTGAGTAGAATGTGAATGCAACTCTGACTAGTGGATCCAACCTAGTCAATTTGATAAATTTTATTATCAAGTACTCCATTATTTAATCTTAATTCATAAACTATACACCAATATAATTAGTTTCCTAATATATAACTATATATTAATATATTACTATTTTGGATATATGTGTGTAGTACAGATGTGGAATTTCTCTAATCTAGCTGCTGAGCTTTTTCTCTAGTGTACCATGGCTTCGGAACTTTGTGTCAAGGCTGCTATTGGCGCTCCAGATGATCTTGGAGACTGTCTATTTTGTCAGCGAGTAGCTCTTACCCTCGAGGAAAAGAATATCCCTTACCAAAAAATTCTTATCAACACGAGGGACAAGCCCCAGTGGTTCTTGGAGGTAAATCCGGAAGGGAAGGTTCCACTTATCAAATTTGATGGAAAATGGATCGTTGATTCTGATGTAATTGTTGGGATTATTGAAGAGAAATACCCAGAACCACCACTTGCAATTCCCTCTGAATTTGCATCGGTTGGTTCTAAGATATTCCCTGCTTTTGTTGCTTTTTGAAAAGCAAGGATCACAATGATGGTACAGACTACAGAGCACTCTCTGGTTGAAGATTTGAAGGCATTTGATGGACATCTTAACAAAAACGGACCATTTTTCAATGGGGAGAAAATTAGCTCTGCTGATTTAAGTTTGGCCCCAAAGCTATACCACCTTCAGGTTGCTCTTGGCCATTTCAAGAAATGGAGCGTTCCAGAATCCAGAGAACTTGGTTCATGTGCATATTTATTTGAAGTTGGTCTTTGCAAGGGACTTTTTCCAGAAAATCAAGCCCTCAAAAGATGAGTATATCATTACCGGGTGGGCTCCAAAGGTTAATGCATGAACCAATCCCAAGCTGTATATCTGTGAGATGCATTAATTACATCATGTTGCTTGAGGCATTATGCCGCTTCTTGTCTAATCTGACTTCTTGCAGAGGATCTATTTGACAGATAAGATGCTACTTATGTTGTTATGCAGTATGTTTATAACAATCTTAATAACCTGCCTGTGTGGGATGGTGTTTCTCTTTTATCAACTTTTGATGGCCTAGGTATTTATGAACCACTTATTGCTTGTTTACGAATTAAAAAAAAAGTAGAGATGTGGAGCTAATCGTCTGACTGGAACCCGTCCGGCCAAGGCCATTAGAGCCCTTCTCGGTGAATTTTTTTGATGAAATTGTTTGAATATGTTGTTCATGAAGTGTAGTTTATACCCACAAAATTTCGGAAGAAAAATTAATCGGGAAGTTAGTTAAATAGATTACTAAAACATACTATGTAGTATGATTCATAAATTTATTTAACTAACTTCTCAATATAATTTCAAGCTAAAATTTTGTAGAGATAATCTGCACTTGATGAAGGACATTCTCATAAAATTTCATAAAACAATTATATCGGAAAAGGCCCAAAATGACTGGACAGCGGTTCCCGTGCGGGCTGCCTGAGGAGATCATTTCTCTCTCTAGAGAAAAGATCAAATGAGAAGTCCACCTTAGGCTGGAAAATGAGAAGTTATTTATGCCATTTGATTCCCTCATCTCGGCCCATCTGCACCGCACTTTGCCTTTGATCTTTCGTCTTTCATTGATGGCATTTTCGTCATTTTAACCATCTTTATACCTTTTATCGTATTCGATTGATCCCCTCATTTTGACCTAACTTTTTCATCCGTCAAGTTTTTTATCATTGATCACTCTGTTTTCTGCCTTGCTATTCTATCTGATTCACTACGGAGAAGATTGTATTGCGGAATTCTCTGAATTTCAACTTTCGGCTATTAATTTGTAATTTTTATAATATTGAATTAATCATTGTTTTCCTAATTTTTGTTTGATCAGTTTGTTTCCTACACTATTATGCGTACTACTTATATTTATTTTTATTTTTAGGCATAAAGAATTACTCCCTCCGTCCCTAATAACTTTGCCAAATTTGACTGGCACGTGGATTAATAAAGTAAAAACTGTGTGGTTGAGGTTTGTGTAGA